ATAATATAATATTACGTAGTTAAATAACTCTAATATATTTAAATAACTTAAGAATCTATTAGAAGTCTTTTTAGAAGAGTTATTTAATAGTTTTAATATATATAACTAGATCGAGTACTTAATCGATTTACTATCTAAGAAGCTACTTAGAAGTAATTTAATTTATAATATATTATATAATAAACTCGTAGCGATTAGAAATTATCTAGATATTATATTTAAGAGAAAGTAAATTTAATCTTTAATTAATTAGATTAACTCGCTAGTACTATTTATTAAGAAATTAAACGACTCGCTATAATTATATATTAATTATCGAGAATTTAATAAAATAATTATTAAGAATAATTACTTATTATTATTACTCTTAAAGACTTTAAAGAGATTTATATATATAAAGTACTTTATTAAAATTAATATTTATAATATATATTATAAAATACGAGTATAAAAGAGAGATAAGTAAAAAATTATCTTTCGAACTCGCTATAACTAGTTCGAATATTAAATAATATCTTTTAATCTTATAAATATTCTTATAATCTTTTAAGCTTATATAAATAAAATATTTAAATTATATATCGATATCTTTTATATAATATATTTAAATAATATATTAATCTATTTTAAAATAAAAGAGTTATATTAGAAATATATATATAAAATACTATGCGTATTATTAAATTATTAATTTTATATAAAATTATTAAAATATATTTTTAATCGTAATTATTACGAGCGTATTCTTAATATACTATTTAATTCTATAACTAGCGAGTCTTAACGAAGATATTCTCTATTATATTATATCTTCTTTCTATATATATAATTCGATAGTCTTATTATTCTATCTATCTTATCTATATTAATATTATATTTATACTAGTTCTAATATTATAATAAAGCTTCTTCGTATATTCGACGAAGAGAAATATAATCGAATATACTTTATTCGAATTAGCGGACGAATTTAAAGAAATACGCTAATAGAGACTTTATTAAGAAATTAAGTTAAGTTATTATATCTCTAAGTAAGCTCATTAGACGAGTAACTCGATTTTATAGCGAATCGAACTCGATAAATAGTAGTCGAGAGATAAATAAGATATTAGATTATTCGTACGGCTAGCGAATCGAAAGAAATAATTAATAAATTCTATATAGTAAGTCTACTATAAAGATAGTAAACGTATAATCTCTTTATTAAGTATATCGATAATACTATAGTAAGTCTACTATAAGGCGACGGGAATAGTCTTAAAATAATATATATTAATCTCTTTATTAAGTATATCGATAATATATATAATAAGTCTACTATTAAATAACATTCAAGTTATTTAATTCTTTCTTTTCAGTCTCTCTACTAAATCTTACGAATCGATAAGTACTTAAGTTACGAAAGTAGTCTATATTAGTTAGATTATTAACTATTAAGTACTCGCTATAATAGCTTAAAATAAATAAGTTTATAGAGTATCGATAGTCGAAGCGGTAAATTTATAAGGCGAATAAATATAATAAATAGTACTACGAAGTAAGATAACTATAAGTTAAGATAAAGAATAGAATAGAGAATAAACTTAATAGTAAGAGTATAGAAGATATAGGGTAAATCTATAGTAAAGCTTCTAGGCTAGGCTACTAATAGATATTAAAGGATAATATATATATGCGTTGAATTTTCTTTAATTCTATTAATGGACTTAATAATAAGAGTATAGAAGACGTAGGGTAAATCTATAGTAAAGCTCCCAGGCTAGGCTATTAGTAGGTGTTGAAGATAAAAAAAAGTGAAGGACTATAATAAGTAGACTAGATAAGGAGAAGAATTCGAAGAATCTTGCTGAGATCTCTGAAGGATAATGTGGGGCAGGCATGGCATAGTTAAGACCAGCATGCGATCCGGCAAAACCTCGGACATGATGTTTTTGAACGAATTGAAACCATCCGATGTTCGACTGCTACCGCTACACCCCGGTAAATCTTCTCCAGTCAAAGCCGGCAGGGGCTATAGATGTTTGGAGAAACAGGGCAAGCAATAGGCGTGCATCTCCGGTCTACCAGCCATGGGGGCTATAGCTATTGAGAGGGGGGTAGTGTTACGAGCGTACCCTTAACACACCACTCAGCCCTATAGCTAGCGGGCCTTGGCGGAGGCATCCCCTACTATATTATGCCTTCTTTTATTAGTAATATGATAGGCTATATCTAATATAATTAGGGCTAGGGCTATATATGAATACTATGTAAATAAATCGCATATATAGATAGATAGAATATAAGGAAAGAACTTTATGCAGTAAATATAGGCTTAATATAAATATAAAAAGTCGCTCGCCAAATCACTAAAGATTCGTCTCTTTAAGTTATTCGATTTCGGCTTATGGCCTATAGTAAATCGAATTACTTCGAGAATTATATCTTAGTCTTCCAGGCGTGTTAGTTTTATATATACGCTAAGTAAATTAATTACTCTAGTATATTATAGTTATAACTATATAACTATTATCTATAACTATATTATCTATAACTATTATTACTAATAACTATATTATCTATAACTACTATTACTTATAACTATATTATCTATAACTACTATTACTTATAACTATATTATCTATAGCTATATTTATCTATAACTATATAGCTATAGTTCTTAGTTATATTATATCTAATAACTATAAGTTATTAAAATTAATACTTTCTCTTTATTTAATTATTAGAAAGATAGAGATAATAGAGTAAATAGTTAATATTACTCTTCGAAAAAATCTTTATAGAGAAAGTAGAGAAAGTAGAGAAATAACGTAAACTTTTAATATAACTCTTTAGTTTGTTCTTCTAGAATAGATGACGATTTAAGATATAAGACGTTATTTAATACGATTAAAAGAGTTAGAGATAGATATAGATATAATAGATTATTAAATATTAATCTTAGATATCGTTCCTTAATTTATTATTTCCTTACTACTTAAGATATTAAGAGTCTCTCTAACTTCGCGAAGATCTAGCGGAGATTTCGATTTACTTTAGCATATATTTAAATTACTTAGTCTCGAATCTCTACTATTATTCGTATTCTCTAAAGAGTTAATAGAAACTTCTTTCTCTACTTAAGAATTCTATTAATAATATTAGAGTATATAGTTACTTATATAATAAGACTAATTACTAGATATAATATTCTTAATAATATCTATATCTAAAGAAGAAGAATTATATATATAGAGAAGGCCTTTATATATTAATAACTAGGCCGAATGAGTACTAGCGTAAGCGAGTGTTGAGTTATCGATACTAGCAAAAATCGAAAAAGATAAGACTATTAGCCTACTATTAAAATATTACTTCTTCGAATTCTTCTTCATAATACTTTCTATAGCTATAATTGCTTTCTTTATTATAGACGTAGATCTAATTATACTAGATATATTTCTAGTAATAATAAGAGAAAGATAAATTCTTATAGTTAAATTCTTAGATAGCTATATTAAGAATATATCGTTTATATACTTTCTATACTTATTCTTAACTTATAGTCTTTCGCTTCTTTATATAGCTAAGCGGAGAGGCGAGTTAAGAGACGAGAAAATAAGTATACTAAGAGGCGAAAAGTGAAGTAAGAAAATAAGTATACTGGGAGGCGAAAGGTAGATCGAGATTGCTAAGTGAGAAAGTAGGCTCTCTAAGAGTCGATATAGTACGTGAATATGAAACTATAGAGAGTTGACTCGTATTGATAGGGTTATTATCTTAAATAACTTAATAGAATAAGAATAATAGGTGTGAGACTCGGTAATCTAGGTTATAGTTTGTAATAAAGGGGGAAGAAGCGTAGTGATATTCTTAAGCTATTATTATTAAGGTTGATGTGGAGGGTTATCGCTTAAAGTAAGAGGAGGGTGAATTAAAGTAATATTCTCGACAATTAAAGTGAAGGGAGAGTGAATTAAAGTGATATCCTCGATAATTAAAGTGAGGGAGAGTAAACTAAAGTGGTATCCTCGATAATTGAAGTGAGGGGAGGGTGGACTGAAGTGATATCCTCGATAATTAATTGATAAGGTGGCTGCGAAGAGAGAGGAGTAGTATTCTCTAGTTGATAAGGCGGTTGTAAGGAGAGAGGAGTAGTATTCTTCGATCGATAAGGCTATTGTTTTTATATTGGTTAAATCGATTACTATAGCTAAACTAGCTATTACTAAGAAGAATAAGATTAAAACTACTTTAATAAAGGACGTTCTTTATTATTCGATGGCTATGAATCGTTCGATAACTATAGAATATCTTTCTAAATCATATTTATTAGTACTTAAACTATGGAAATCCCTCTTTCTTTTTAAATATAGACTTTATTAGTTTATAAATAATCTCGTAAACTAATAATAACGTTCTTACTAAGAATCTCGAAGTTCTCTTTAATATATAGAGTAAAGTCGTTAATAAAGACGTTAGAGAGTATTCTAAATTTATATATTATATATTATTATATTCTTTAATAAACGAATTTCTCGAGCTTCTCTTTAATATCTAATAGCTTAACTTCTTATAGTTTCTCTAGCTTATTCGTAATTATAGTATCTAATAATATCTCTAAAGAATTAGATTTCTTATCTTTAGAGTTTATTTTAATATATATTATATATTAATATAGTATAAAGCTTAATAATATTTAATATTTTCTAAATATTTTCTCTACTAAGTAGAAGTCGTAGAAATTATAGAAATTATAGTTCTATTTAATCGAATCGTTATAATAAGCGAAATTAATTAAGTAATATAAAATCGTATAAAGTATCGCGACGATATCGAAATAGACTTTCTTTAAAAGTATAATCTTATTAATCTATATATTATTATTAAAGTATATTAATTAATATTAATAATATTAGAGTATATAATTACTTATATAATAAGACTTATTACTAGATATAATAATCTTAATAATATCTATTAAGAAGAAGAATTCTATATATAGAGAAGGCCTTCATATATTAATGACTAGGCCGAATGAGTACTAGCGTAAGCGAGTGTTGAGTTACCGACAAATCCCGTATATCTTTAATTTCTTCGATTCGTGGCGACGGTGTGATGTTCGGTGTAGGCCTCTCATAGTCCTCCTCCTCATCGTCGTCGCTAGATACGGTCTCAATGCTATCCTGGATGAAGGCGTCACTGAGGTCGTTACCGTTCCAGCGAGTGGGGGCGATGTCTGCTCGCATGGAGTTGTAGGTTATTGGGAACGAAGTTAGAGTCATTAGTTGGACTCCCTTGCGGTTCTCATAAAAATGGACATTCGTAGGCCATTCGAATTGATTGTTCCGAGGGTCATAAACCCGGTACTGAGTGGATGAATGATAACTGGTATATATGCCCTGGTAGGCCATAACATGTAGCTTACTTTCTCGTTTCTCTTTTGATAGATAAACCAAGCATAGACAACCGAAGACTTTTTCGTGACTCAGGTTCGATTCCTTGTTGAACCATAGTTCGTAGGGTGACTTGCTCCCTCTGCTACCATGTGGTAGTCTATTTTTCAGATGATTTGCATAGACTGCGGTCTCTGATCAGAAGCTTATGGGTAGGCCTAACTGGCTAAGCATGAGTCTTATAAATCCTTTCGATGGTTTCATTTCCTCTATACCTCTTGCGTAGAGATGTAGGTCCTTTAGACGATACGCTTCAGTATAGCCTAATCGTTAATACATTAGTCGAAAATAATCGACTTATCCTTATTTCGTAGGTGCAGGTGTACTTTCATTAAAAGGTCTCGACTCTCTAAAAGCGAATGCTCTATCAGATGTCGATTTAATCAACTAATATAGGCTATTCCTCGCATAATCCCTTACTACCGTCTCGCCTATGAATATATTAATGATTCTAACACATAGGTTTTCGAATCGTATCTTAAAACTCTTTCGATCCAGTGCTATAATAGATAGCAGGTTACTATCCATTTCTAAAACATATAAAGCATCTATTATGATCTATATATAATTATTCATACGAATTCGAATAATTCTTCTATCTACCGCTATTAACTTATCTTAATTATCGAATTCTACTTCTTTCGAATAAGGCTATAAGTCGGTAAATAGTTTCTTATTTAATATTATATGACGAGTCGCTTCGAAGTCTATTAGCCAGCTACTGTCTTCTAAAAAATCTACTATTATAGAGGAATTCTTTACTAATAATATACTATCTATAAACTCTAGCTTTTTTCTAGCTATTTATAAGCCTTTCTTTCGACTATATATATCACTTATATTATTAACATTACTATCGCTATCTAATTTATTCGCTATTACTATAATACGATCTAAGCGTTCTTATTTACTATCTTTAGATATCTTTAAATTCTTTAATCGATCCTTTAATTTACGATTTCGCCCATTTAAATTCTTCGCCCTATAGTTTTTATCCTTTTTATTCTTATTATCCGAATACTTTCTCTCGTAATACCCGATTTTCTTATAGTTATAGTATTCTATCTTACTTATATTTCTAGAAAGTCTTTAATCTAGCTAGCCCTTTCGTTTATTACATATAAATAGATCTTTATTCTTAGCCTATCTATCTTATTTCACGATTTATAAATATTTTATAGCTATTTCGATAATAAGATTATCGTTAATCTCTAAGTTATATTTAGTTATATCGAACTTACTTTTCTAATAAGCGTTTATAATTATCGTCGCTATAGTAAGATTATATAATATATAGACTAAATTTAGATTTATAACTTCGTTCTATAGATTTCGTAAATCTACTATTATTTAATCGATCGTTTAATTTATTAACTTAGTATATCTAAGAAACTTCTATAATATAATTAAAAGACGTTCTTTACTACTTATTTTATAAATTTAATAAAGCTTATCTTATATAAACTTAAAAGTAATAAGATAGGCGATATAACTCTTTTAATTTTAATTAATATTATCTCTAATTAGTATAGCGATTTATTTATTTAAAATAATTTATCGTTTAACTAGCTCTCTATCGAATCGTGTAGATATTAATAATTTCTCTAACACTATTTTAAAGATACTACGTCCCTCGAGGAATTATCGGTAATTCTAGACCTATAGGTAATAGTTTAAGTCCTTTAGAACTTTTATTTTAACGTATAATTTGCTAATGAGTTCCTTATCTAATTTCTCTAATAAATCGACTATTAGTAAATTGTCCAAATCGAGTAAAAGATTCTCTTTCCTCTCTTCTTTCTTTTTCTTTAGATAAGAAAGGCTCTTAGTTAGTAATACTAACGCTATCTATTTAGCGAATAAATAATCTCGTTCCCCAGCCTACTATAGCCTTACCCTCGAGTATTCTTCGACGGAATTCTTAAATCGGCTATATTCTCTAGTATTTAGAGCTATAGCGGTAATAGATAGATATAGCGAAAGACTAAAATCTCGATTAATAGCTAATCGAGCTTATAATCTATTAATAATATAATAGGCTATACTTAATATAATTAGGGTTAGGGCTATATATGAATACTATGTAAATAGATCGTATATATAGATAGGTAGAATATAAGAAAAGAACTTTATGTAGTGGGTATGGGCCTAATATAAATGTAAAAAGTCGCTTATTAAATTACTAGAGATTCATTTCTTCGAGTTATTCGATTTTAGCTTATGGTCTATAGTAAATCAGATTGCTTTAAAAGTTATATCTTAGTCTTCTAGGCGTATTAGTTTTATATATACGCTAAGTAAACTAATTACTCTAGTATATTATAGCTATAACTATATAGCTATTCTTTATAACTATATTATCTATAATTACTATTATTAATAACTATATTATCTATAACTATTATTATCTATAACTACTTTATCTATAACTACTATTATCTATAACTACTATTATCTATAACTATATTATTTATAATTATATTTACTTATAACTATATAATTATAGCTCTTAGTTATATTATAACTAATAATTATAAGTCGTTAAAATTAATATCTTTCTATATATATAGTTCGATAGTCTTATTATTCTAGTTCTATCTTATCTATACTAATATCGTATCTATACTAGTTCTAATAGTAATAAGATTATCTTTCTAAGATTCTTAATAAATTAACGCGATATTTAAATAAAGCTATCGCGTATTAAGACTATTACTAAGTAGCTAGAATTAGAGTCTAATATGTGCTAGGGCGCGGGCTACCCAGTAGTGAAAAGCTAGCCAAGTATTATGGAAACTCTAAGAACATCGCTATAATTAAATATGTTTACGGTACTACATTTAATTAAATCTTCGAATTCTTCCCATAACGATATCTAAGAAATAGATTATATCGTCGATTAATCTCAGAATATATGAGATTCTCTACAGCCTCATGATTACCGTATCGAATTACAGTAGATATCGCCGAGTAGATATGTGTATTACGATTAAATACCAATCGTTCTAAGAAGGCCAAGCGAGACTCGCTCTATACCCAAGAGTATACGTCCTCGAGAGCGTCAAGTAACTGCCCGTGACGTATCCCGTCCTTATCCTCGTCGTCCTCGTCTTCGTCGTTCTTATCTTTACTCGTAGTAACGATATCGATAATATCGTCACATAGCTTCAGAACAGTATTCCGTTCGTTGAAAATCCGAGCTTCTTCCAGCTATTCTACCGTATCCCGAAGCTCTTTATCTCGCTATTTTTATTAAATACGAATAGAATTCTCGTAATCTTTCCAAGTGAGGAGACTGTAATCTCGATGTAAATTCTATACGTTAAAGGTTAGACGTTATATAGAATCTTAATAGCGAAATTTGAGATTACTATATCGAAGAGAAGGATTAGAGAGAAGTCTAATAGATGATTTATTAAAGCCTTCGAATATGTATTAAGAAGGTCTATAAGGTATTGCAGGCTAAACTTAATAACGTATTATAATATTATAGAGTGTGGAATCTCGACGTTGGCATGGATTTTATTGATTTCTCTGAAATTATAGCTAATTTTGAAAGTGTAATTGCGAGAGAGCTGAATTCTATTAATTTCTCTGAAATTGTAGCTGATTTTGAAAGTGTAATTGCGAGAGAGCTAGATTTTATTAATTTCTCTAAAATTATAGCTGATTTTGAGAGCGTAATTGCGAGAGGGTATACTCATTTTCCTATTATTAACGCTTTTTTTAATAACGATTCGCAGTACGTATAGTAGTAGAAGAAGAGATATTATAATCGAAAAGAGTTAACTGAGACATAATTTGTAGAGATAGAATTCTTTTAGAGAAGAAATGGAGAGAGACGGAGAAAAAGGTGAGATTACTAATAAAATTTGATGTTCGTAGCCAAGAAATTTAGTTACTTCCCGAATAGGTACCTGGCTTTCTCGATTCAGATCTTAGCAATACTTTTCAAAACTTGTCGACAGGAAGAAAGCTAGCTTTCCAATTAAAAATATCTTAATTTTTCTAAAATTTATAAACTTCTATTAATAATTTATATAAGATTTTTTATAAATAACTATATCTTTAACGAACTTAATCTAAGAAGTAAAGAAAGATAAGATTAGATTATTCTTTATATTTAATAAAAAAGTATATAAGGCTTTTAAGATACTTATGTTAGGACTAGCATAGGTGCGATATTAATATAGGTGAGGTAGAACTAGGATAATAAGGCTACCGAACTATGTAGGTGGGAAGGAGGCATAATATAGTAGGGGATGCCTCCTGCCAAGGCACTAGGCCATAGGGCTGAGTGGTGTGTCAAGGGTACGCTCGTAACACTACCCCCCCCTCTCAAATAGCCATGGCCCCCATGGCTGGTAGACCGGAGATGCACGCCCATTGCTTGCCCTGTGTCTCCAAACATCCATAGTCCGTGTAGGCCTCGACCGGAGACGATTTGCCGAGGTGTAGTGGTAGTAGTCGAAAACATCGGATCGCATGCTGGTCTTGACTGTGCCATCCATGCCTGCCATACTCACATTGTCCTGCAGAGATCCTGGAGATATTGGCCATATCTTGCCTGCGTGCCAGCAAGATTCTCCGAGTTCTTCTCCTTGCCATAGTCCTTCGGTAGAATTGAAGTAAATCCAACGCATGCATTCACCTCCAACACCTTTTGGCAGCCTGGCCTGGGAGCTTCACTGTAGATTTGCCCTGTGTCTCCCATGCTCTTGCCATCAAAAATCCATCCTCCATTCCATCCTTTGTCTCAACTCAGCCTTGCCATGTCATGCACTTGTCGATTCGTAGGTTTGGTAGGGAGGTAGGGAAAGAATTGAATGTGTTGAATGCCATTTGGTAGCAGGCTCACTATGTGTGTTGTCGACATGCTCAGTGAAGAGGTCGATATGTGTCGTTTCGGGGCTGTTCCCGTCGCCATTGTAGCAGGCTCACTATGTGTGTTGTCGACA